ATCTTTTTTTTTTTTTTTTTTTTTCTCTATGAGTTGCAACACTTCAAATTCAAATTTGAAAGACACCTCATGGAAATGAAACATCACTTGAATAAGAAGCACAGCTTTCAAACTTTCAGTGGTTTTTGCCCAAGTATATGATTCCAAAATATCTTGGACAATTGAGAATAGACAGTTGTTTCAATTTCAATTGAAAATGCATAGACCCTATATATTTACCATTTAAAGCTCTCAAGATAAAATCATCATATCACGATCTTAATCAAACAGCAAGGTAAAGAACAAATTGAGGAGGAGGGTTATCTCTAGGCACAGTAGAACAGTTCTTGCTTTCCTACAGCTGATTTCTTGTCCCACTGGTTTAATTTATGTCTTGGAAGAACTGAAGGATGACTTGTTAGGTTTTTACATTTCCCATAGAAACTACGGGTTTTTTCGAACTTGTGTGTCTTTACATCAGGAGCTTTATCCAGGTAGACTTAGTTTTTGTTTGTTGTTTTATTTATGCAGGTAATGCTGGCAATTTTGATAGGCTTATTAACTTTACTGACATGGCATTTTACTAGAGTCTACACAGCAAGATCGTTAAATACTTTAGCATATGAACTTCGTCATGAACTTCTACAGCGACCAATATTACGAATGTGGAACATCCTTAATACCACTGTTGAAGTAGCAACTTCTCAAGTTAAGCTTTCAGAGTATGTAATCCGGCGTTACAGCAAGCCTGATAACCAAGCACAACAAGTCGAGGTCGTTGCTCAGCTGTGTAATCTCTTTGAAAGTCAGATGATTTAATGATTTCAATATAATATAAAATATTTCTTAATTGTTTCTCATTTAAATTCTTGGTTATCAGCAGCTTTATGAAGCTATGAGGGATGTGACATGGGCATTGTTTGCAAGTCGAAGAGCTCTTAATTCAATAACAATAAGCTATAAAAATGGCTTTGTTCAGGCTTTTCACAGAAATCATAAGAGTAATAATACATACTACATATACTCTGATCTGGCCAACTATTCGATAAGTGGAGTATATGGTGTCAACATGATTTCATCTCATCAAGGATGGAATGATCAATCTATACACAATAACATGTCTGCAATTTGGTATCAACAACCCCTGGATCCCATGAGTGGTGAGAAGATTGGAAAACCAAAGAAAATCCCGCCTGATGAGTTAATTAACATTGCAGGAATTTCACAAGTGCCTGATGGTACGGCTTCTTGGCATGTGGCAGTAAGCAAATATACGGATTCACCATTGCTTTCAGCAGCATTGCCTGTTTGGGACCCATCTCATGAAAGCATAGTTGCCGTTGTGGGTGTAACTACTGCACTTTATAGTGTTGGACAATTGATGAAAGAACTTGTTGAAGTCCACAGTGGACACATATATTTAACCTCTCAAGAGGGTTGGTTACTTGCTACTTCCACTAATACTCCTTTATTGATGAATTCAACAAAAGGGCCAAAGCTCATGATGGCTGCTGATTCTGAGGACAATGTGATACGATCTGGGGCCGAGTGTTTGCAGAAAACATACAGCAGCAAATTTCCATCTAGCCAGGAAATTCATATAGAAAATGCAAGGCTTGGCAATCAATTGTATTACATTGATTCCTTCTTCCTCAACTTAAAGAGACTTCCTATGGTATGTTTTCATTACAATTCTCACTGCCTTGAGTTAAAATTCGAGGCCTTCTGCTAATAAACATTTGTTATTTATTCTATTACTCATTACAGGTTGGCGTTATTATCATTCCAAGGAAATATATAATGGGAAAAGTCGATGAGAAAGCTTTTAAAACACTCATGATATTGATATCAGCATCTCTATGTATTATAGTAGTTGGATGTATCTGTGTCTTCATATTGACCAATGGAGTGTCAAAGGAAATGAAACTAAGGGCAGAACTGATAAGCCATTTAGATGCAAGAAGGAAGGCAGAGGCATCCAGCAACTACAAAAGTCAGTTTTTAGCAAATATGAGGTAATTATCAATATTGGCTTCAAGGTTTCATCAATGTATAGCTCATTAATGTGAAAGTTTTATCGTCAAACTCTAGATTGTTTATGAGGAGCAGTGTTGTGTCTTTCATGTGATTCTATGATACATTCACTATATAATTATTAACAAGTTTACATGTTATTTTTTAATGGGCTAGAAAGATACTTCAGCTAACCAGAATATTTCTCTCTTCATAAGTGGACATATTAGACACTGATTTTTATTTCTTTCGTGTATTCACTAAGAGTTGGAAAAGGCAGAGCATATCAAAATTAACGTGCCCTTAATATGCTTGTAAAATATCTGGTTTCATTAAATTCTGTAGATGTAGCAATTGATGGAATAGAGTGGCAAAAAATGATTCTCATAGCACATCTAAGAAGTAATACTTTTAATGAATTTCAAAAGCTTAGTGATTTGATATTGTTGAATGACTTGATCTAAAAATTATGAAGTATCGATATAGACACGTGTGTCTAACACACGATTTTTTGAAAAAGGACACAACACTTTGTCGACAAACTGATTAAATTTTTTAAACTTCTTCGTTTATATAGTATAAATTTAGTTCTATACTTATTATTAATTTTTCTTGTCAAAATCTTTTGCATATTAGTACCTATTTGTTATTTAATAATAATTACGAGTTAAAAATATATAATATTTTTGATAAGAAATAAATGATCATGGTATGAGTATCCAAAGAGTGTTAGTATACGACACGTGTCCAACACGGACACGTTACCTGAGTTGAAGTGTCTATACTACAGAGTCTAAAAGCTTAATCTCTTAGAGGGATTGTGTTGAAGATAATATTTAAATGATATACATGTAGCTCTATCTAACAACTTAAATTTTGAGATCAAGTGATTCAACAAATGTTAGAACCACTAAACTTTACCTTAGTGCAAACTGAATGGTGCTTGGCTGATACTTTCATAAACATGTCTTCCGTGTAGTAATTGTGTTCCCATGTTTAATTAACTTTTTGTATTCCATTTATTTATTTATCGGATAATAGTTGACTATTAACCAAAAGAATTATGGCTGAAATACATCAAACACAAGCTTGCAAAACATTTTTGAAGATTATGAATTATTTAATGAATTTCAGTTACATGCTGCTGAAATCACCCTTCTTTTTTTTTAATGTCAAAGTCATGAGCTGCGAACACCTATGGCTGCAGTGATTGGATTGCTGGATATTCTTCTAAGTGACGATTGTCTCACAAATGAACAATATGCAATGATTACTCAGATTCGTAAATGTTCTAATGCTTTACTGCGGCTTCTCAACAATATTTTGGATCTCAGCAAGGTAACATGTAAAAGAATGTTTCTCGTGTTCACAACAGCAAGTTTTTTAGTTTATACTAAGCGAATAGTTGCTGTCACAGGATAATAAACTTAAGCAAGAGTATCCAGAAAAAATTTGGTACCTTATTTTTTAGCAAGATAATGAATTAATTGAAGGAAAATTTGTCCCAGAAGCTCAAAAATTAGTATGCTTTCATTCTATCTGTTCTGGTCAAGGCACTAACATATAGTTAATAGAAGAAAGGAATTGTGGAGCAGAAAATTAATACAAAAATACTGTGTCAGTGTTATGGATTTTAATAGTACTGATAGTATTATGGATTGTTTGTTGTACTATCTAGTCTTATTCGATATTACATACCAAACATGGACTGAGAGCACATTTTGTATAATCAGTGAGAAGAATATGATATTATATATTGTCGTCTGAAAATTTGTACAGGTAGAATCTGGGAAGCTAGTACTAGAAGAAACTGAGTTTGATTTAGGTCGAGAACTTGAAGGGCTTATTGATATGTTTTCTGTCCAGTGCATTAACCACAATGTAGAGACTGTGCTTGATATCTCTGGTATTATTTCAACCTTTTATCATATCTATAGAAGTCTATGTTCGATCCTTAACATCTATTATATAACTCCATCTTATTAAGTTTCTAAAAGCATAGTATTGTTGATGGTCTTCAATACAGATGATATGCCAAAAGTAGTCCGAGGAGATTCTGGTAGAATTGTTCAAATTTTCGTGAACCTAATCAACAATTCTATCAAATTCACAACCTGTGAGTTTTTCCTTGATGAATTTCATTTACTACTTAGTCACAGTGAAAACTCAAATTCGTTGTTCTTTCATTTAAGTAGGTAGTCCATGATTGCAAGTTATTGAACATGCTAATAAGATATACTAAAGTCATTAAAAAACATAAAAAATTCCCACTGAAGATATAGAATCTGAATTTTCTTTTCAATATTTCCATGTCGAGTCTAAAGTTCTCAACTTCTAACAGCGGGCTACATCATTCTGCGGGCCTGGTGTGAGAATCTAGACACAGACAGTAATGAAAGGAAGTTGTCTACAAATCAGATGGATTCGTGGTGGGTACAAAAGATGAAACTTAAGCGGCAGGGATGGCATGGTAAGAGATCATCCAAGAAAGATAACAAAATAATTCTATGGTTCGAAGTTGACGACACCGGTTGCGGTATGAAACTTAATCTATATAAAAATATATGAATACCCTTAATTTACTGAGACGTAATTAATATTGTTTCTAACTACTTCATTTTACGTCTGACCTTTGCATTTCTCAACTACAAGGGATTGATCCAAGCAAATGGGAATCTGTATTTGAAAGTTTTGAGCAAGCTGATCCCTCAACAACTCGGTTGTAAGCACTTTATAAGTCTAGATATTGTCTGTTGAGAGGCATAATTTAGGGTTATTTTTATGTCCTTTTACAGTTATATTTTTATCTGTAAAAGCAATTGATCTAATCACCTGGAACTGCAGCTCTGGGAATTAATATGACTGATGGTTTCTTTAATTCTCAGGCATGGTGGCACTGGCCTTGGCTTGTGCATAGTGCGAACCTTGGTGAGTTGAATAATTTTTTAGAACTAGTCTTTAAATTCAGAGATATACATCCAAGAGAACATATTCCGTGTAAAGCGTGAGAAGGAATATGTTTGAGACTAAGCAACTTGTAGAGACATTGTAAGTTACTTTTAAGCTTAGCCAAACATTTCATGCACATGTGTTGGAAACTGTTAGACCCAGTTAAATTATCAATTAGCCTTTGAGCGATCCATTATGTGTCGCACAAAAATATTGTTGAAAACTTATATCACTCTGTATTTCTTGATTCTGTCTAATGATGATATTATTGTTAACAGGTCAACAAGATGAATGGAGAGATCAAAGTGGTGAAGAAGAGTGGAACAGGAACCCTGATGCAACTGTATCTGATTCTCCGCACACCAGCAGAGAGCACAAAACAGCAGTACCTATCAAATCTCGAAGAGCAGAACCTGACTGTGAGAAGAACTACTATATATTCATAATTCTCGCTTAACACTAAAAAAAATTCACTTTAACAACATATTAGTATGCTGATGCGTAATAATATTAAACAAACCAGGATGTAGTCTGTGCTAATGAATATCTGGATCGCCTAGTGTCCCACTTGTAAAAGATGTCCTAAAGAGCATTCTAGGAGACAATGTTCCATGCTAAAATGAACTTTACTTTGTTACAATTTCTTATGTTTCAGAAGTCCTGGCAATTATTAATTTGTGAAGTTGAATGCAGGTGTTGTTTGCACTTAATGGCAGAATGACTAGAATGATTATGAGCCAATGGTTGCAAAAAAATGGGGTGTACACCTATGAAGCTTCTGAT